CTGAAAATTGTATTTTACCTTATTCGATTTGATTCCTTCTTCTTTTCAAGCTCTTATATACAAATTTCTTTTACGCCAAATTTAGAGGTTGTCTAAAAACCTCAGAAATTTCAAGGTTGAAAATTGTCATGGAACTCAATTTCTATTTTAATATGTGATATTCTTTCTTAATGGTTAAATCTTTTATATATTAAAGGGGAAGCATTGGGAGGACAATTTGGCTGATGTGTTAACACCATAATTTTTTTCAGCTTTTTTAAATAATTTAAATTCTATAATAATTCTTATTATCCTATTAGCCAAACATTCTTTATGACTACTATCCTATTAATCAAACACTTTTCATAATACAATCTCTATAGCCAAACATAATTAATTTTATTAAATTTAAATCTGAAAATGTTAATTAAAATATTATCTAATTAGCAAACACATTTAAAATTAAAATAATTATAATTTCAATTGTCAAACACATTACAATATTTATAAACATGCCTAAATTAGTTATTCAAATATTGTAATATTAATCCTTATATACCATTAAATTACTAAAAAATATTACTATTCTTATAATTACCCTAAATAGGATTCAATTTATATTTGCAATCTTCCATTTTATATATTTGAATCATAAACCATATTTTGAAGATTATGATATTAAACAAATATATGTTATTAAGTGATATAAAATAACTAATTTTTTTTTTTAAAAAAAAGGAAATCACGGGTGTAACACATTTCTATACAAAATAATTGTAAAATTTATATATATAAAATAATTTTAGATTTCTATTAGGATAGCACCTAAAACTATTTATGAACAAATAATTAAATCCAAAATTGTATTTTAAAAAATACATTATCACTCTTATAATTATGTTAAATCTATAAGATTCAATTCATATATATGTGATCTTTTATTTTATATATTTGAGTCGCAAACCATAATTTTAAATATTAAGATTAAATAAATACATTTTATTAATAAGTGATATATATTTACGAAAAAAGTAAAAAGTTGTTGTTTTCAATTATTTCACGAGTGTGATACATTTATATACAAAATAATTGCAAAATTTATATGTATAAACGAGTTATAGGTTTCGTATAACAATTTTCCAAATAACTATATATTATTTAGTAAACTAAAACTATATTGATTTTACTCGCATATCATATTATCCCGCGTATAACGCGGATAACTATCTAGTTGGGTTTAAACTCTATTGTCTCTGTTAAGAGCTCTATTATTAAAAGAATGGGGTCTAATTTTAAGTCAAATACATTTTTGAGAAGTTTGAGTTTAGAATTATTTGTTTATAATTAGTCAAGAGAATGAGAACAAATCCTTTAAATAAAAGCTTTGAAATAGTAAAACTCTAAAAAGATACTAGACAGTAGACACCATATTTTGGATAACCTTTGGATTTCATTGGTGTTACTTTGATTTGTCAACGAATTAATGTCACTTTAGGGTATATCTCCTTGTATTATACATTGGAATGTTGGACCGACCCTTTAGGAGTACAATGTACCGAGAACAAATTACTAACAAAACAATCAATTTTTCTTTATACATTAACCCGTGCCTAACTGCCTATACCTCTTGTGATCAATAGAAAAAGATTGGAATCCTTCTTTTATTTAAACTAAAAAATATGTAACCCAACAAAAAAAAAAAATATATATATATATATATACATTTAAGTAATTTTAAGCTTTGTTATAATATTTTTTGTA